CAAAGATATATATACTCAATTTACTCAAATATACGTCTATTATACATATTACTGTTATTACCAAATTACGTTCCCCGTGAACTAAAGTGGTCTGATCAACCACGTCGCCAGAATGGGAGAATAAAACTTCCTTCTAAGCGACCTGTAAGCCGGACCAGTCCCACAACCAGTCTCGAAGCGTCTAAGCACAATAAGCCGAGTCCGCCTCGCCCACTTAGTCACGCATCGGACAAAAATCGTAAGCCGGGCCAGTTCCGCGACCTGTCTTAAAAATGTCTAAGTACTAAGACGAGCCCTCCTCGCATACTTAGCTACGTACAAAGCATTATCTAAAAGCCGACCTCAGGCTCGCACATAAAAAAAAAGAAGACAACAATACGAACTGAAATATACATATCTTCAAAGAGAGGTTCAAATCTATACAAACGAAAACACAAAGGCCACAGGCGGCCTATATATATATATAAAAAGAGAAAAAATACAAGGGCCACAGGCGGACTGAAAGCAAAAAAAAAAGGAAGAAAAAAGAGGAAACAACATAGGGGCTATTTTTCAGTCCGCACCGGAGGATCCCGAATGACCGGAATGCCGTCTAGATCAGCCAGCTCTTCACCCGTGGTTCGATCGACGGCTGGAGCAACAGGGTTTCCAGAATCTGGGTTCTGAACGACAAGCGCCGTCCTGGTCTCATTACCAACTACCGCAGCGACCTCGACCCGATCCGAGGGATTGGCGGCCTGTGAGGATGCAGCGGATAGCCACGAGGGAAGAGGCATCACAAAGTCCTCTTCCTCGGCCTCCTCCACTTCCAAGACCTCGAGCTGGCCCTTGAACTTCTCAAAGTTATCATCAAGGACCTTCAGCCTCTCCGCAAAAATGGTAACGCCATCCTCTTCCCCCATCTTGACCAGATAGCCCTTAATAGCCTGCGATTGGCTCATCAGTTCTGAAAGCCGAGCGACCTCCGCGGAATCAGCAATCGACCTCTTTATCCCCGCCAGCCTCCTGTTGCAGTCTTCCACAGTACTCCTAACAGTCGACGCTCGAGACTTACGGAGACGGTCAATTTCGGCCTGAAGGGAATCCTTTTTGGCAGTCGCCAACTCCAGCTGTTCCACGGCATCCTTCTTCTGCGACCTGAGGTCCTCAATGACCTTATCCGAGTCCGCAACCATTTTGCTGAAGTTGTTGACCCTGGACTTCAGAACGGGAACCTTCTCCGCTTCCGCCTTTGCGGACTCGAGCTCCTTCTTCATCGAGTCGAACCCCCTCTTCATCGACTCCTGCTCCTTGAGCTGCGATTCATATTCCACGAGCTGCTTCGAGACTTTGAAGAGCTTGCGCTCGTACGAAAGGACCATCGAGTTCATATGGGTCATCAACTGCAAAGAGGGCAACCAAGGCGCTAAGGGTTAACGAACAAAATGAAAGAACCCCAAGAAAAACAAAATAGTTAAACAAGAGCTCACCTCCACCGAAGCCCCGCAGACCCTGCGATATGCTTCGAATTCCTCCAGCTCCTCCGGCTTAGGAAATTCGTAGGCCTCGTTGCATGGGAATCGAGATCACAGATCGGCGCATGCCCTAGTGTTATTTATCATGTACTTAGGCGCCCTGAAGTCCATCTCGAGCGTGTAGTTCTTGGAGTCTACAAAAGGGGAGGCGGCAGCCGAGACTGTTTCGGGGACAACGGAGGAATTAACCCGGTTGTCAGTCCGAGCCTTTTTAGTCCGCCCCTCTGGAGCATCCTCCAGCGGTCTCTTGTCCTTAGGAATTCTTTTCGCAGATTCCTCGGCTACAGCGGCAACTGACTTGCCGGATTTCTTTTCTACCAGCGCGGCCTCAGCTCGCCTGGAAGACGGGGCTCCGGACTGCACCCCGGCAGGGATCCCCCTTCCAGGTGGACCGGTTCCCCTAAGCGTAGAGGCCACGTTCTTCCTCTTCGCGCCGACCTTGACCGAAGTTTGCCCAGCCTTTTCAGTCGTGGCGGGCTTCTCGGTCGGAGCGACTTTTCCAGCAGGGACGGCCTGCTTCTGCTTAGCGGTCTGCCCAGCTGGGGCGACCTGCTTCTCTTTAGAAGCCTTGACCGCTTCATCCAATGCGGCCTCATTGTAATCTACCTTCCTCCACGTTCCTTTTATCTTCTTACCCATCTGCTCCGCTGTTCGTTTGAAAGTCTTCGCTTTTGGAACAACCAGAGGGTGCGTAAAGGGACGAAGAGGCTCGAGCTCGAGATCGAAACAGCCTGCAGAAGGATTTAAGGCGTCATCAYAAAAAGTAACAGATCCAAGATCGAGGGAACAGGGCAAACGCTAACCGGTTAGGATCCTTCCGATGCACCTTTGGATCCTTTGTTCGACGAATTCAGGCCAGATCTAGGGGTCCAACTCCTCGATAAATCTAACAAGAGATTTTTCACTAGTCCGTTCGGAGCAGAGTATCCTTGGCGGCGGTCTGTCTGCAAACAAAGAAAAAAAAAATAGACGTCAGCCCGAACAAAGAAAAAAGAACATTTCGGCAAAAACGTACTTATATTAACGTTCCAGCCCGCACGAATAGGCCATTTGGGATTCTCTACAGAAGCCGCGTTTATTTTCACAAAGAAGTAGAAACATTCCCAGTCCGCGCTCTTATCGGCGTCAGAGCCCGTGATCAACCGGTTGTATTTGGGCTTAGCCGAAACATAATAGCGACRTGAAGAGCCTCTCCGCTTRAGCGCAGTCAGCCCCTCGAAAGTGTCGCAGTCGCAAACCAACCCTTGCTCTGCAGCTAGAACCAGATACGCCATAAAGTTCCTGATGGACCCATGGGTGAGCTGCGAAACGGCCAGGCCGCGGCGAGCGCAGTACTCGATTAACAGCCGCGGAATCGGAAAAACAGCCCGCTCTCCTCGAAGAAGGATACGTAGAGACACATATACCCTTATGGGGGCGACCAAGGACGTTCGCCGCTCTGGGGGACACGGAAGTCAACCCCCCTTGGAAGATCACTGATAGACCAGACGTTCGTAAGCATAGACAGATCAGCTTCCGAATCAAAATCATCCTTCCTCTTCAGCTCGATGCCGGGACCTAAGTCCGGCCCCAAAGGCTCCAACGCAAGCCTGTCAACAGGCGTGAGACCAAAGGAGTCAGGATTCGAATACACTCGCCGAGGTGCGAGCTGATCTTTAACCGCAAATTGACGTTTAGCCTGACGAGGTTTAGCAATTCCGGGCTGCAGGGTTCTACCTCCGAATAACCAACAGAACAGGACCCAGCGTCATCTTCGGCCAGAGAGTTGCCACTTGCTACCCTCTCGCCGGCATTCGACGAAGTCCCTTCGCGAGTCGACACGTCAGGACTCTCGGCGGAGGACAGATCGGTTCTGGAATCGGAGAGATACTCGTTCTGAGAGTCAGTTGCTGAAGAAACCATAACTACGGCAGGAACAGATTCAAAGGGATTCCGGATCGATACGGTGTCTTATCGAGCGGTTACGACGAAAGACCACGACGGGGAGCAGATCGGAGAAATCAACAAAAATGCAAACAAGAAGAAGCTGGAGAGAGAAGAAAGGAGAACAGTACCTTAGAGAGAGAAGCAGTTGAAGCAGAATGAAGAGGAAAAGCAAGAGTCGAGTCCCACTTTTATAGGCTCAGAGCGGAATACGAGGGGTCACGCCTCGAAGAAGATGAGACCACAGCGAAAACCAGTATAAATCCGATACGTGGCGATCTCGCGACTTCTCAGAATCAGATCGAACGACCTAAAATCAACAAAACTCGGACCGCCTCGTTTCGTCGACCGGGGGGGGCTACTGTTGGGCCCAGACCTACGGCCCAATATTCCGAGCAGATTGCAGATCGCAAATCGCCAATGAAGCGGAGGCCCACCAAGTTCGGAAAAAGCCCAGCGGGCTTCCGGAGGCCCATTCCAACCGTTAACCGCGATCTAACCACACCCAAGACGCGTCCGAACTGAACCTGGTTAAAACAGGGGTATATCAGATCAACCACGGTCAGTTGAACCCAAGCTAAACTCACCGTCCTTCACTATAAATAGGAGTTACGGGACGGTACAACGGGGGCATTCACTCTCCTCTCAAGAAATACAAGCGCCACCACTCGCGAACTCACTAAATTGTAATCTTTATACTCAACGTCTAGTAGTTCCAGTTTGTCCGATCTACCACGATTTCCGAGCTAGCGAACTAATAGCACGGGATCTGTCCGGGCTATTTTTAGCGACCTATCTATAAATACATCTCTTTGACTCGACTTTCTATACACGAGATTCTCCGACCTCCGATCTACTATAAATTCATTGTCGACCTGCTTGGATCAACAAATACTTGTTTCCAAGCAGATGGTTTTTCTTATGGAATCTATGTGAAAGTTACTAAACATACTAGTCTATTCACAAGATACAGCTACTCTCTGCTATGGGGATTCCAGGTAATTGGATTTTGTTTTTCCTGCTTGATGTCAAACATTTGTAGTATAAAAACAATTATTTGACTATTTTTGCATTGATTGACATATTTGGGACTCTTAACTAATGCCATAGTCTTCTAACTTTCATAGCAAATCAGCACGCTTGCTGGAAACCAAGTCCCTAGCTACTCTATGGGGGAGGTCTTCTTTACTATGGGTATCATTGGACTGGGACTTTTGCTATTTGGGCTTCTTATTGGTAATATGCAAAATTTCCTTCAATCATTGGGTAAAAGGTAAAAATAACTCCACATTTCAAGACACAAATAATGGATGGTTTCTACATGGTATAGGAGGTTGGAAATGATGCTAAGACGGCGTGATGTAGAGCAATGGATGAGCCATAGACGGTTGCCAGAAGAGATAAGAAAGTATGTGGACAAAGCTGTAGAATTTAAAATTTCCTCACAGTCAAACATTTTTTTTTCTCATAAGTCCTTTAATAAACAAACCGTATTTCAACATTTAGGAGGGTGCAAGAGACAGAAAGATTCAGGTGGGCGGCTAGCAGAGGAGTCAATGAAGACTTGCTTCTGGAGGTTATGACGGATGACCTCCGAAGGGACATAAAGAGACAGCTATTCTTATTCCTAAAGGAGGTAAATACCAAAGTTATGTGCATTTAAGATCCCAATTCCATAGGACCATATATAGTGTTTCAAAAGAAAATGATGGGGTTTTGCAGGTAAGAATATTCTCGTTAATGGATGAATGCATCTTAGATTCGATACGTGAGAGGCTGCGACAGAAGACATACATAAGGGGTAGCACTGTCTTGCACCGACGTGGCCTAGTGGAGCAAATTATTTTCATAGTAAGAGGTGCGATGGAGAGCATTGGAGAAGACGGTTACGTTCTTCCTTTATCAGAAGGTGAAGAACTACTCACTTGGTGCCTCGAACGCCCTGCAGTAAACCCCGGTAAGTCCCTTTTACTTATAAGATTTTTGCGTTTGAGCAATCCATGATCTTGATTAAGAGTCACTTGAGCATGATAAATCTGCAGATGGGACGAAGATAAGAATGCTGTCGAAGGGATTCCTTAGCACCAGAACTGTTAGGTGCGTGACAAACGTGGAGGCATTTTCGCTAAGTGTAGCAGACCTTGAGGACGTAACGAGCTTGTTCTCGAGATTCCTTAGTAGCCATCGAGTCCAAGGAGCCATTAGGTACGAGTCTCCTCATTGCAGGCTACGAGTAGCTAGGCACATTCAAGTAGTTTGGAGATACAGGAAGAAACGGCTCCAGAAATGAAAAAACAACGTCTATGTCTTACTAGGCCAACACCTTTATAATTACTAGGTGAGTATACGCGCGGGTTTTGTTTGTGCATAGCTTTATACGAATTCATATTTTATAATATAATCGAGTAAAATATTGTTTGAAACAAGAAAAAAAGAAAAAAATCGGAGCAAGGATTAAATAAGCTGCTTACTAAGACTTGTTTTGCTAGTAATAACTTCATGCCCTCCAAATCCTTCCTCGCCAATGCCGGCAATCCCCAAACTCGTAAACTAATAAAAATCCTCCTCTTTTAATGATACACTAATAATCACGACCTTAACAAAAATAATCATTGAACACGACCAAAAGCGTATACAACAAAGTTCTTAAATACTTCACACAACGTTCTCCCGCACATTCATTCATTACTCTCTTTACATTAGCGAGRCAAGCTCTGTTTTGCGAGTTTCCTTGCAGCACAAGAATGAAAAAAATTATGTGTTGCTTAAGAGACAATCGAAAGACGACAGAAACAATACTTGCTCGTAGCTTTAGCAAAAACGAACAGAGGGAACTTGGTTATCGAGCTTTCATTGCTTGTCTTCTCTCCGTCTTCACTCTTCGCACTGTCTTTACCAATCGGACAGCGTTTGTCAGAACTCCACATGGCAGCATGTTTTTTACTCCTTAGATGAGAATCAAAGACTACTATATGATTTAGGCATGCCACATTGCACAAACGAAAAGTGCTCTGGTTAATCCTTTTCCTCCACACCTTTCTCTGGAATAATATTTTTCCAACCTATCCACAGCTCTGAAACAAACCAGCAAGCTGCTGTTTAGTTTAGTGACCTATAACACCTTAAAACACACARACAGAGGGACAAAAATTCATGACCTATAAGTCTGAGAACAAACATGATTGAGGAAAAGATGAAAGGTAGTCTTTAAATTCAGGGGATCCTTAAATAAACCAAGGCCATTGTTTGCTAAAAATTAGTTAAATTTAAACTGTACGTTGAATCTGAACCATTGTAAATCGAATAAAAAAAATGCAATTAGTCAAGCAACAATTTCCCATCATCAAACAATAATATGTCTAAGGCTACGACCTTTACATGGGCATAATAGCATAGATGCAGACAACTTTTTATCAAAATAATAAATGAAACAAAGGAAGTTAGATGACTCTGTTTACGACCATCTCCAGCAAGATCTTCTTCATCACCAAACGACCCAAGTTGGGACGTTGGGGTGTATCAAGTATAGCAAGCATGTAAAAGAAGAGCTTCATCAGAGCTGCAACAGGAACGTAAGCAACTTTTCACAATTTTCGGTTATTCCGCTCTGATTCCCTCCTCTTAACTTTTTGAAAACAAACTTACTTTAAGCATCTGATTGATTAACTTTGAATATCTCTTGTTCCAACAGGTGAGCATGATATCCCTACAAAAATTAWTAATGGTAGTATTGTCCCCATTCGTAGTTGTAACTGAATTAAAAATATGATTATACATYAAGCTTCATACGTACCTCTTCTATCTCTAACTTTTGGCGCTTCYACAAAGCACCATCAGTGAAGATCTTAAGTATTCAAACAGTGTCAMATTTATTCTGGTAATTAAAGTGAAAGAAAACCAGACAATATGTAGCGAATACATAGAACATTTAAGATAAGAAAAAAGGGGAAAAGGAGATCAATATGTCTCCAACGGATGGGTGGTCAACAACCTGCAAAAATTGCAGAGAAAAGGAAGGGCATGATCAGCATACCAAAGAGTCCACAAAATGCAAATGCTAAAAATTTAACATGTAGACCTCATTCACTTGAGCACAGTTGGTYCTGCGCTTGGCTCTGCTTGTGAATTGGAGAGTTCCTTTTGATTCCTCAATATGATGTTACATACACCRTCATGTACTTTTGATACATCAACTGTCTATTCTTGTGCTTGGCATGATAATAAAAGGCAAGGAAAACCRAGACCTGAGCACAAAGTAACTTCTATTAGCTCTTCTGGGGCCATAGTGCATATAATCGAAGTCTTTGCATTACCACCAAGCGCAGGCTGAAGAYTTRGAGTRAGCTTACTATCTCGGTACGGAATATGTGCCCTATAATCAAGAATGTAAGAAATGAGTAGAGATGTATCATTGTTATGTGTAACCAAAACAAGGGTAAGAAAATACCTTAGCTTTCCACTGTCACTTAGTTTAATGTTGACATTTCCAAGAAGCGTTATGCTCTTATTAATGTACTTCCCTTACGCCAAGCATACTCGACCAACACGGGTCTTAGCAATACACTCAGATCTAACCAAATCAACCAAATTCTATATAAAATAACACCCATAAAAGAATACACAGTTTTCTACACACCTCCTAGTGTCGATCGACACCCATCCCGATCGACACCCATCCCAAAATTCTAATTTTTGGTTAACGGGCGTTACAATTCATATGAAATATATACACAAAATAAGTACACAATTTAGTTGCTAGCGACATGTATTTTTGGTTACCCTATAACTCATTCTTTATCAATAAATTTAATATTAATTTATTATATTTTTCGCATATGTTTATGCATATTTCTTTTTCTCTAAATATTCTTGGATTCATCGACTATTTGAAATTTAATAATATTCTTGGATTTCTTTAGTTCAAACACAAGACCTTTTTAAAAAAAATAT